CAGCATTTTCATAGTGTAGGCGATCGCCTCTGCTAGCAGAGGCTGGACATAGGCTATGCATGTCCTGTGTGTAGTAGTCCTTGATAGTAAGTTATTGAATACGAGTAAAATCTTTTGTTTTCTTCAGTGCTTTTACTGACAACGACGCCTGTCACTTGACATGCCGATCCCTCTAAAAATTCCTCAAGAAAAGCAGCTGCTCTGCTTTCTACAATCATTGCTTGTTGCGCTGCGGATAGATAGATAGGGTAACATGGGGCAGCGAGCCCACTGCGGGTCACGGGCCCATAGCGGGTTTCTCGCTAAGTATGGCAGATATTGGTCCGTGTTCTCTACCGCCGGTCAACAGTTTCACTGGGATGAAGTGTACGGATTTACGTTTTGCTAAGTGTTTGCGTTATCAAGTTCTTTGCGAATAACTGTTTTAGTCCAGATAAAAAAATTTTTGCCGCTAAATAAAGTTTTTTTCTATTACTATAGATGAAGATTTTGAAATTACTTTGAATTATTTTTTCAAAGTAATATATATAGGGATAATTTTGAGACCAAGTTTAGACTATTAGCTTTTAAAATAAAATGTTGACACGATATAAATTGAAATGATACCTAGTGGGGGCAACGGGCCCACGCGTGTCACGGGGCAAAGCGCCCATGGTGAAGTCTCGTGTTATACATAATTAGATTTGTCTCAATGACCTTTTCAAACTATGACTAGCTTTTTGAATTACAAATTACACTTCATATTGCATGATTTTTTTATTTGCCGCCTCAAGGCAGCAGGTTTTGTTTCTAGTTATGCGTATTTATGACCACTTTTCGAGTTATTGACTCTTGCCTTGCCAAAAGTTGATTTCAGTCAACACCAATGAGCCAAAAGTTGATGAGAGTTTTTATGGTGTTGGCTGAAATCACGATTAGGTACGAATTCTCTGCACATAATATCTGGATTATGGACGAAACTGGAACGAAGTTTTTTTCTGATCAACTAAATATATTTTTCATAGTCAAGGATACATTTTTTCATGTCAAGGACGAATTTTTTATCGCAAAGATATCTTTTTCAAGTCAAGGATATATAATGTTATGTCAATGAAATATTTTTCTTCACGTCAGTGATAGACTTTTTAAGCCAAGAGTATATTTTTTTCAAGTTATGGATATGATTTTTGAGTTGCTAATAAATGAATGAATGCCATTTTTTTATTACATTTTTCTTATTTTTAACTGTAAAGTGTTGTTTAATCATTTTTAAACGAAAAATATGCAATTGTGGTAAAGGGACCAAGGGTGGGCGCCTTGCCCCAAGCCCATGGGCCCATTGCCCCAGGGGTGGGGCAATGGGCCCATTTTGACACTTTTTACAAAATAGTGTTTCATTAAAAACTGAATAACTCTATAGGCGTCTAATTCACATCATACATTCCTCATTAGTTGCACCTTTAAACAAAACAAAGAGCCACCTCGTATCAATTAAAACTTCATCAAAAATTTAGTTTAAAAAAAGTGGGGGGCGCGCTGCCCCACGTTACCCTACCTGTAGCCAGTGTCAAGGGATCCAGATGTTTTGGATGTCACGTATGAAAAATCAGCAGATAATTGTAATTGAAATTTTTTCTCTCTGTTTTATTAGCTTTTTGCACTTAAACTGAAAAAATCCCATGTCATTTTTTTTATTTCAGTTTTGATTGCTTTTCAGCGCATTTTCTCATTTATGAAAAAAATGCACTATTGTGCTCGCCATGTCCGTCTGTCTGTCTGTCCGTCCGTCCGTCCGTCCGTCTGTCCGTCCGTCCGTGACCTCAAGTTTTCGTCGACGAGAAAATGCGCTCTCTGTCACTCACTGCAATGAGTACTGAGTTATATTTTTTTTAACGTACGCCAGATAATATCGCTTGACTATGTTTACTTGCATTTTTAGTTGTCTCCTGTTACACCTACGCCAGGTAATATCGCTTAAAAAGTGTTTTCCATCATTTCTGGTTGTTTTTGTACACAGACTTGAAAAAAAAAATTAATTACAATTTCTTTCTCAATTTGGCTTGTCCTCGTCTGCAAGTGCGCCAAGCAGTACCACGTAAAAATGTTTATTCGCACAGTTTGATGTTTTTTACACTTACATTGAAAAATTCCACATGAAAACTTTTCCTTTTATGAAAGGTTTTTTTTACGCGTCGGCAAAAATGCAAAAAGAACATAATGACTCTTTCTGTAATTTTCAGTTATTTTTTCACATGCGTTCTCGAAAAAACTAGAAACTTTTTAAAAACTAGAAACTAGCGAATTTACTGCTCAAAGAATTATTTTTATAAAATCACAATTACCATACTAGCACAAGATTCATCTATCCGCTCTGCGATTCAAGTACTACGTCGTTCCTGAAGTCGACGATGCATAGCAATACTAATTAAATATTTATTTATTTGAATGTGCATATACAATCTTTCTAATGTATCATAATAATAACCATTTCCATTCTTGACCATTCGATCTAGTTCGCTCCAAGCGCTCATAAGTAAACTCAACCCATCATATTACCTCGTCATCAGAACGGTAAATGTGCAATTCTAGGCATGGATGACCGCTTTATCGTCCAGTGTATCGTATTCGATGAACTTATGTAGCCCACTCGCACCTTCTATTGCTCAACTACGGCTTGAAAGCCTCAATAGGTTACATATGTACGACCTCTACACGATGGCGAGTCACATAAATAATGCTCACTTATTTACAATTCAATTGGTTACTTACTTTGTCCTCCCGAAGGATGTTAATATAGCAGATTTGTAAAGAAATTACGTGATTTGTCCAGAGAATGTGTTCTGAAAGGGTTTAATTATTAGAGCATTGGGCTAATTTAATTTATAATGGGCTTATTTAATGCTAATTTTTTAAGTGAGAATGTGAAGTTCTATTATATTTTTTTATGTCTCGTGATATCGATCTAATATACTCCCTATAAGGAGAGTAAATATAATTAAGTAAATGAATAGAAAAGTGGAACTTCAGTTGTTTATAATTCTCTTATGTTGATATCAAATAAAATGATGGAAATGTATGTTCAGCAATTTAACCGATAAAATTATAATATTCAAAAGATTTAAGTCTATAGAATAGCAAAAAACTGCTGTTGAGCCGCATGGCCACTCTCCAAGCTTCTTCATAGCAATGTTAATAAATATAATTCTAGTCTTAAGTAAGTTGATAAATCCATACCCAGTCTTAAGTCAATTACAGCGGGACGCAACTTAAAAGCTGGCTAGAGATGCCAGATCATTCGAGGTCTCAAAACCAGACGAACGACCAAGTCATGCATTCCTACCAATTCATTGGCCCAAAAATGACGCATAACATTAAATTTATATCAAATTCATCGCACAGGAGAAAATGAATTCATGACGAGCATAATTCGAATAAATATTTATTTCTAACTTAAGCGAAGCGTACTGGATTGTATTGTAAAGTTCACCTCAACGAATCCGAATAAATCTGAGAATAGAATTAACGTTGAGGCAATATTACTCGAAGACTTCTTCTGTTTAGTCAGCTCCATATTTAACAAAGAACTGTTACGGGGCACCTTGGGAATTGCTCTCTGTTCAGCTAGTGTGTCAAGGCCTCAAAACTACGACAAATATTTTCAATTTTCATAAGTATTTTAAAATTGATATCAGGTCAACAAGGCTCGCTTAGCATTCCGAACATTCAGCAAAGATACGTATTAATGGATAATACTAATATTGGTGATTTCCGTGCCGTGCCTTCCATGTGGATGAGAGGCAATCACTTCATTTCTTCTCACCTCTTCAATATGTTAATAAGTAAATCATGTGAGTCTTAAAAGGCCGCGTAAGACGTGCGTGTTGTCCACATATCGATGCATTTTTTGCCCATGTGTGGGTCCCTGACCCGGTTTTGCATGATAAAAGGACATATCTGTGCAACGTCTACTCTCTGCTGAGCTGTGGGAACGAAAACGCTTTACTATTTTGGGCAATATTACCCATTCAGTTTTCTGGGTGTCGAAAAATAAGGCATTATTAATTGAGTATATACAAGCTGTCACGTGGAGGAGCGTACAGAACATATAGGCGAACAGCATGAGAGGATGGAAGCAATTCTAAAACATGCAATGAATGATGCACCATTTGACGGTTAACCTTGATATTGAACCGTGCATGTTGGCGTGCATGGCAACTGTACCCTTATTTTCGCCTCTGTACACGAGATATTACACTCAACAATGACTACAAAATGACTACAATTCAGATTTGTAGGAACATATCTTATGGTAAAAACAGCTTCAGGTATTTATTATTCCATGCGTTCATTCCTTTCATCAGTGAAATAATCGAGTCCCTGCAGTTATTTGATGAATCGGTGCCACTAATGCCACGTATAATTAATTGAAATATAATTAGCGTGCATACACTGCCGGCAGCATCGCTCCGGCTCTCGTTTAGCTACCACGATTGTAATACTCACCTTACACTCTACACAATTGTCATATGATCAATATTAAACATCGTTTGCGCAGAATATATTTTTTAATTTTCAAAGCGGAATTTTAACCATATATGCACTTCATTATACTGATGAATGATGATATTATTGATCATAAATCTACACCCCAAATTTCAGAGAAACGAGTTTTACTCTACCAATAGTAGATATAGCTATTAAAAAAACTCCCCTATGGGATAGAATGTGAACATTAGAAACCTAGTATCTTATTGTATATTTCGAATCAATTAGTGTAGCAATAATAAAAATACCTCTAGGCACGATATTTATATAAACAATGGAAGCGAGCGTTTTGTCGGCCAGCAACGCCATGCTGGATGCGCTGCCGCCCAGCCCAGCCGAGGGCGCTGAGGACGACCAGGAGGCTGAGGGAAGGTCGAAGAAGGAAATAAAGGTAATAACTTTAATTTTAATATAGAGATAATTAATGTAATATATTCTTAATAAATAATTAAAATTAACATACAACATCATTCAGAAATTTGTCGAAAAGAATTACCTGTAATTTTTGGAACCTAAAAAAATTGTTTAGACCGACGCGTAAACAATCTTTGCAAATGTTACAAATGTACAAATTAATAATTCAGGTTACGTTGATACATCATTGATATTTTTGGTAATTAATTTGCCAAATTGTGTTCTCTCACCTGAGCAGCAATTTCTTCTTGACATATCGCCATTGCAGGCATCGTCCTGGCTGGCAACGACGTATCTCAGGTACTGCTGTCCGTCGTAATCACCTACTATGGCAACCACGGCAACAGACCGCGGTGGATGGGGCTCGGGGTGATCGGCTCCGGGATCTCGAGTATCTTGGCTGCCTCTCCTCAACTCATTTACGGATCAGGCGGTGAAGCTTTGGCCACCGCACTCCTGTCCAGCGTCCAGAACAGCTCCACGACCGACGGTTAGACTAAGCACAGGGAAAACATAGACAAAATGTGGAAGCAAACGTGAACTTGTCTTGTTTACTTTTTACAACAATCTAAACTCAAATGGAGGCGGAGCCAATTAGACAGACAGGCTTCAGCGCTTGCAAGCGCGATGAAAATTCGAAAAACACTCACAAATGGTTAAAAGCTAGTGTCAATGTTCCTACAATACCGTTTTATCAGAATTTTAGTGTCCAAAGGAAAATTAAACTTAATTTAAATTTTTCACGCAGATACTTACTTGTGCCCTCACAAAGCTGAGGAAAAATGCGGAATAGAGGACGACGACAGCGGCCAGGCGTACATGGGCCCCGCAATAATATTGTTCCTGTCGCAGTTCTTCTTCGGCATCACCGTCAGTTCTTACTTCAGCATCGGCCTCATTTATATCGATGATAACGTCAAAAGAACTGAAACATCCGTTTATTACGGTGAGGTATCCGTAATGTTGTATTTGCGCTATACTTCCGTCTTTTGTTGTCCAGGTTCACGCTGGTGACGAGTAAAATGCGCTGTATTTGCTCCCGTTCTTTTAATACTCCTCGTCTGGAGTGGTCGCTGAAGAGCGTACCGTGATCTTGCTCGGAGTTTCTAATGCATATCTGAGAACCAATATTTCACTTAATTCTTTGTACATCTTGGTCAATTCATTATGCTTGTTCACAATTTACCGCAAAGTTATTTTTCGTTGATCTCGTATTGAGTGGCGGGTGGATGTGAGCTTCAGATTTATTTGTGTTGATTTTTTCCACGTGGAATGAATTTGAGGTTGCTGCTGGAGCGGAGACTTGATGAGAAAGATTATAGTCAATAACAAGTAACGCCTACATTTTTTGAAGATCAGTGGCTAAGACCCTTGAATTTTGACTCTAAGGAAATGATGCAGATTAAATCAATGCGGATTTATCAGACAACAACCGTTCTGGTTTTGAGACGGAGATCTGTTTTCATCTACAATAATTTTAGAAAGAAACTTTGATGCTCCGGAGATCCCCAAATTTGATTCTGTTTTAAAACATGTTTATTGAATTTGCGTGATACATATAGATGTGAAGTAATTGTTTTTATTGGTAGCGGGTAACATCACGTTTTCTAGGGGTAGGTTATCAGCTACTCTAATATAACCTGAAGCCTGAATTCACCAACTTTTATATAAGTTGACCAGTTTTATTTCTCACTATCCTGTTGGGGTAGCATAGATATGCTGGGACCTCTCCCACATCTATGTTGCAGAATGTACAGCTTGCCAACATGCCTCGCGTTATATGGTTTGCAATCTAGACTTTCAGACACTAGGTTCTCAAATATGCGGTGAGCCTTTTTCAAATAACATTCAAAAGAAGCAATATTTTTCTAGGTCATCTGCCTTGTATATTTGTTCATTTAGAAATGACGCCTCAGAAAACATCTTCTAAAACTATCCCGAGCAGTAAAAAGCAAACTAGACCGTCAGTACACAAGTATCAGCCATGAAAACCTGGTCAGCTGTGCACAGGCACAGGACGGACTAGCTAAGTTTAAGAATTAGTCGTGAACGAAACTTGGTGGTCCCGCAATCAAGAGACGCGGAAACGCGCAACTCTTGTCCGAACGCCGCTCCCACACAAAAAAAATCCGACGGGGTTGGTGGGAGACATTGCAAAAAGGTTCCATTGTGGGGCGTAGGTTTTAGTTATAGGGCTTTAGGTCTAGAATAGAGACATGAAATTGGTTCTGTTGTTACTGTGGATATCTTATTTACGTAGAGTGAGCCTCAAGTGAGAGGTGTTTTAAAGTCTGTAAAATATATGGAATTTTATAGGTTTGGCGCTTCACTGCAAAACTTAAAATACCTTACACTCACAGTTTATTGATTAATTTTGCTCAAGTGCAAAGCAAAGTATTAGAGTACGTAGCACAAAAATGTTTGCTGTATTTCTCAAAACAATACAGTTCCCTGATGTCAATGAATCGTTTGAGTCAGAAATGTAAAACAATTTAAGCGCTATTTTGAAATAAGGTATTTCAATGTAGTTTTTTTCTTTTAAAGAAATTCAAATAAATGAGGAGATCGGGATTTCAAGGCAGCGAATAGGTTCACATCGATACGAGATATTTAACAGTGTGGAAAAGTAATCCTGAGCATTATATTATTGCTCATGTTGTGTCATCTGGAGATCCACATTTTTTTTGAGAACCATACTTTGTGCAGATATTGTTAATTTGCGCTAACAAATATTATTCAATGAACTTGTTTCGCAGAAATTCGTCAACAAATGCCAGATCTCCAGTACGGAGATCAGGCGTGGGATGTGAATTATGTTACAGATTTGATGATTGACATACTTGACAAAGAGTTCTCGTCGAACACTATAAGCGTAATCAATAATAGTTTTCTCAGAATTTTTTTTAGAATAATTGATTAACATTGTAAAAAATTGACGGAATATTTGGAAACCAATAAAAACGCAATAAATAATACCTTTGGTTATTGTAGCGATGGTTCGCGGTGATGGGCTTCTTCCTAGGCAGCCAGTGCCTCTCTTACTGGATGAAAATATTACCGTAATGTTCTGGAAACAAAATAAACGCGCTGACGCACTACATAAATAAATAACGCCCTACGTAAATAACTAACGACCCCACATATGTATATAACAGCTATGGTTGTTGTGCTATTGAGCAGGAATATCGATGGTTGGGCGCGTGCTGGGACCAGTGATGGGTTTCTTCCTGGGCAGCAAGTGCCTCTCGTACTGGATCGACCCGAGCCTCGACCCAGAGATCAGCAGGCGGGACCCGCGCTGGCTCGGCGCCTGGTGGCTGGGTCAGTGGGTCCAGTAGATCCAGTAGATCCAGTATATCCAGTATATCTAGTATATCCAGTATATCCAGTATATCCAGTATATCCAGTATATCCAGTAGGTCCAGTATATCCAGTAGATCAAGTAAATCCAGCAGAGCCAGTAGATCCAGTAGATCCAGTATATCCAGTAGATCCAGTAGATCCAGTATATCCAGTAGATCCAGTAAATCCAGTAGATCCAGTAGATCCAGTAGATCCAGTAGATCAATCCTGCTCCAGTTTATCCTGCTCCAGTTTATCCTGCTCCAGTTTATCCTGCTCCAGTTTATCCTGCTCCAGTTTATCCTGCTCCAGTTTATCCTACTCCAGTTTATCCTACTCCAGTTTTGTCCACATCAGATATGAAAATAGATTTAGCATAGCACTGAATGCGAACATTGAATTTAGTTTCTTCATTTCAGTTACTTAAAACCGAAATCACAGTTACCGTATAGGCCGATAAATTATGTCTCCAGTACAATAGAGAAATGCTACTGAAACAGTGGGAAATAATTAGATGGTCTAACTTTTCAAAGATAAATTTACTCTTAGTTTTAGAAATGATTAAATTGTCTCACTCAAATTCATATATAATGAAGAATGCGCGTGAAGAATAAGCCTATATTATGGTGCAAAAATTGGGTGGCTAGATGGAGCGTCCTTACCATGAACGTTCATAAGATTAAGAGCCCCATTACTTCCTAATTATTCTAACCAATCTTGGAAGATCATGCCAAATACATCTCATTATTGATGCGTTATCGTACTATCACGTTCAATTTTGTTACGATTCAGCATGTAAGTAAAACCATAAGACATCAAACATGTTGAAAACGAATTTGTACTTTACTCAAAAGTTCTATATGTCCTCCACCGCACGTGTTGCGCTGGACCTTAACATCAAGACATCATCAAGATGTCTTGACTTAAGTCAAGACTTAACTTAAGACATCAAATATGTTGAAAAAATCTGAAATTTACTAAAAAGCTCCATATGAGGGGCACGTGTTGCGCTGGACCATAATACTGTGTAAGAAAATTGAATTTGTATATGCTCAGGCTTTCTGATCCTGGGGACCATACTCGTCATTTCGGGTTTCTTTTTGATGTTCTTCCCGGAGCAACTCTCGTCGAGCCTGACAGCGCAAATCCAGCGACTCGAAAAAGCGGAAATCAGGAAAAATCCGCAGAAAAGCGAGGTACTTTCCGTGGACCATTACCTAGCACTGACCCGGCAGAAGAAGAAGCATACCAAGCCTTCCCTCAAAAGTGAGTTATCGTGCATGCGTGTAAACTTCGTTTAATTTCGTTTCCTTCGTTTCAATTGAGCGCATAAATCCGGTGATTATCCCAGATACGGATCCCGGAAATCATACGCACAGCATTTCCGGATTAGTTGTAGAACATTAAAATGAGCGACGTCGATGAGAGCAACAACTGGCCTATATTGAAAACAGAGAAAATACTAATAAAATTTACTGAATTTCTTATAGAGATTTACCGCATTTGTAATAAAAATATTCAGAATTTACACTGTAAATATATTTATTAACTAACATACTAATATATACTGAATCATTAATAACAAATCCACACTGTGTCATCGAATGACCTGATATTAAAACTAATTATGTTTGCTGCGTTGAAAAAAAGGTTTTACAAAATGTCAAGAAATATTTCGGCCATAATTCTCCTTCAAAATTTATTCTCCTGATAGTTGTAGTATCGTGCCCACGTTCATCATTTGGTTGTTTTTTTCGTTCCGACATCAAAGTTTCTTTAACGAATTTACCTGATGAATTACATTAAGTGAAACACATCGGGTTTTATCATTGAAAAATCGCGTGTCATCAAAAGCCTGCAATAATTTCGGATTCCGTTACTTGCGTGAATCGTCCTTTGTTCTTCTACAATTCTGGCTGCGGCTGTTTCACTCCGAGTGAAAGCTGCTTATGTTTCACTAACAACTGCAACTTTTTTTATCCATCACAGAACTTCCTATGGCACTGAAAAGACTGTTCAGTAACAAGGTCTACCTCGGCAATTGCTTCGACACGATTTGCGTTCTCCTCGCTCTCTCGGGGTACTGGACTTTCAAGCCAAAGTATCTCGAAACTCAGTTCCACAAGAGTGCCAGCGAAGCTAATTTCTACACAGGTCAGATTTATAAGTTTAATAAAAAAAACGATCATTTTGTGTCGGTTCCTGTAAGCAAATCTATCGATTTCCCTGAAAAGTATTAATTACTTTTATTATCCTTAGGGTTTTTACTATCCTAACATAATAGTAGAAGTTACGCTGCAAAAAATTTAAATCCCATTTTTAGACTTCATGTTAATAAGAAATTAGTATAGTGTTCACATCAAGATTTTGCATCCGAGACGCACGTGTAATACGTGCAAATTATTATATAGACGCACAGTTGAAATAATTTTCATTACTTCGTCTGAAAAATCAAATGTCTCTTTAAACTAATGAAGCCGCTTCTGTTGGATTGCTTGAAACGTGAATCTTCATCCTGATATCGCATTTCTGATGATTACACTACCTCGAAGTTGGTCGATCGATGATTATCTAAGAAATTATCTATCATCTGACTTCTAGTCGATGGATGTTTTTAACTTTGACTGCGCCGTTTATCGATCGCTTCAAGCAAAGCACATCTCCGGTTCTTTACTTCACGTTATTACATTTCACTGTATGTCTTCTCTCCGCAGGTCTAGCGAGTTTGATAGCATCAATGTTCGGTATTATACTGGGTGGCGTGGTGATGAAGTGGAAGCAGCCAAGAGCTCGATATGTTGCAGCCTACAGTGTCTTCGTCACGATAGTGTCGGCCTCTATTATGTTCTCGCTGGCATTCGTAAAGTGTCCCGACGTCAATATACTCGGAATAGACGAGTGAGTTTAATTCTTTCTAATCGTTCCCTATATAACAGATAACATTAGATAACAAGTTGTTAAATTATTTTCAGCTTTTTTACATCTTTCGAAATAATTTCACTACAAATATGCCGTAATGTTTAATTAGGTTAAGTAACAAGATATGTCATCAATATTTTCACTCTAAACATATGAGTAGAGTAAATAGTATTCAACCAGAAGTGAACTGGATATGTTTTATGGCTCCATAAATGTTTGCATTCACCACTGTCGTGTATTAATACTTACAAAATGTGTTGTTACAATTTCTGTATATTACTGCTTGCATCACTGCCAGTGTACAGTACATATATGTTCCTTTAACCGCCATGTATTACTGTTTGTAGAGTGTTTTCTTACCTCAGCTGCACGTTTTTATTCCAAGAGTGTGTTCTTACCTCAGCTGCACGTTTTTGTTCCAAGAGTGTGTTCTTACCTCAGCTGCACGTTTTTGTTCCAAGAGTGTGTTCTTACCTCAGCTGCACGTTTTTGTTCCAAGAGTGTGTTCTTATCTCAGCNCTTAGCTGCACGTTTTTGTTCCGCAGGAAGTGTTCTTATTTCAGCTGTATATTATTGTTCACAGTGTGTGTTCACTGGACTGCGAGTGCAGTACCAAGTTCCAGCCTGTATGTTCCCAAGGACTACAAACGTATTACTCTGCTTGCTCTGCCGGCTGCACTTCAATGTCGAAAAATGGTTCTGAAGTGGTGAGTAGATTTGTGTACATTTAAACAATACGTTCGTTCATTACATACGCTTCGATATCTGGACAAGTTTTATTGCGATAATAATTTAAAACGAGTTATTTCTAAATAATGCAAACTAATAACTACTACTCGTGATTGAATTATTCCCAATGAGGACTCATTTTTCCCCCAGGTCTACAGGGACTGCACGTGTATTGCGGAACCGCTAATTTCTATACAGACTCTCGTAAGTAAATACTTGCGTTAAATTTTGATGACCAGTATTTATTCTCATAAATTATGTGCAAAATTATATTCTTTTATTATTACTATTTTGAAGCCAAAACAAAAAATTTTCCACATTTAAGCGGCATTCTGTAAAAATAAAAACAATATTTGCTTGCATCATGGCTGGAATTCACAGTTATCTCTCAGCTTTAAAACTTATATCAAGACATTATCCTACCAATCTCGTTACTTCTGCTAAAAAAGAAGGTCATTCAGCTGGGACTCCTTCATTCAATCTGGATTTAAATTTTGCGAGTTTATATTATATTCGAGAAAAGTAAGTTTAGTTCATGTGTTCCTAAGAATTTTCTCGTTCTGGCTGATATATGATCTAGGCAGCAATACTCTTAATAAGAGAAGTTCAATCACATTGCAAAAATCTTTCCAGGAGTTTGATGTGATAGAAAATAAATGTTCAAGTAGGTACATTTTAAAAAGTATTCATGGACTCATTTGCAGCGTAAGAAAACGTTATATTACTTATCAAAAATTGTTCCTGGACCCAAATGCTGCGTATGAATGAAGTTAAATATCATTGCAAATTAATGCTATTAATTATTTAATGTTTATAAGTAATTATCATGGACCCAAATCCAGGTAATATAACCTTGGAATTTTTTCACAGGACTCGAACGTTCCGTCATCGTCGCTGGTTTACAACAACGCCCCTGTGAGCGATAGCACCGCGTCAGGAAGCTGGGCCACGGACGGCTACTGCCCCAACGAGTGCTCGAGTCTCTTCACCTACATCGGCCTCACCATCGTCAGTAAACTGATCAGTGCTACCAGCAGGGTGGGAGGCACTATGGTATTCCTACGGTGAGATTTACGGGAGTAATCAATTCATTATTTCAATTGCGAAAATAATTAATTGACTAATTTTAGGCTACGGTTTTTCGTGTAGGAGGAATTTTAGAATAATTCCAGTTTCAGAACAAGTTTTACTAATATAGATTAACGAATTTAGGAAATATTTTGTCTATAGATATAAAATAATTTGAAAAAATCCAGCTTAATTGAGTTGCAATAATTAATGTTGTAGAGCTAATAATCCAGGATCGTAAATTTTTACCTTTTCATCTGTAGTCTCCCGGTTTATACTATTTTACAAGAAATATATATACAACTACATGCGCAGATCTGTTCATGAAGAAGATAAAGCGCTGGCACTTGGCGTCATGACAGCCGTGATCAGTTTAATTGCCTTCATTCCGGGCCCTATCATTATGGGCGCCATCGTGGGTGAGTTGAAAATTAATATTCGGGAATTAAAGATAAAAATCAATTTTTTAACCGAACACTAATAACTAATACTTAACATTAAACTTAAACATTAACAACTTAAACATTTACATTAAACATAACTTAACAACACTAATAATAACTCTTATTGTTCTTATCAAAATCTTATTATTCTACCATATCTTTAATTTTCCAATATAAATCCTTATAAACGTGTCGTACACAGACTCCGCGTGTATGATGTGGGACACAAAATGCGGACAGCGCGGCAACTGTTGGCTCTACGACACGGACAAGTTCAGAATATTGATGCACCTCGTGACAGGAAGTGAGTCTTACAAGTTTATACTCATCAACGTTTGCTGTACAGTAACATGAGATGAGAAAGATAAGTAAAATAAGTAATAGTGTAAGTAATGGAAAAATAAGTAATATTATATATTTTGATTTTCCATGTACAAGGTTTATGGTCCTGTAATGTGAGTTATGTTATGTTATGATTGATGCCTTGCTCTAAAGTTACAAACATGTTAGTAACTCCATCAGTCAATAATGGACATTTCATTTCAAGCAATACTCACAAATCCCAGACGAGAAATCGTCCGTTGCGTGTACTTGAGCAAATTTTTCTAAAGTGCGGACCTGGACTGTTTTTATCTCTCTGTGTTTATTTGTTCTTATTATAATATATTTTGTTATTTGTGATATTATTTTTTAACAGGTCTGATGCTTCTGTCAATAATAGGCGACATCGTGGTCTTCATATACAGCAAAGACATCGAACTTTACAAAGAACCTGAAGAAATAGTTGAAATGTTTGAAGCTAAAGGGAAAAAAGCACCGAATTTATCTATTGTTAAAAATGACAAGAAACCTAATTTATAATGTTGTGATGTTCATTTTTTAATGTATTATTATAAATAAGTATTGTGGCTTCGCGTCTTCTTAACCTATGCTAGTCAAGAATAATTTCACACTAATTTATTGATTGAATTTTGAGATAGATTTTAAATTTAACCGCAAACATTGGATAGACTTGATCCTTTTCATCCCTAGTCAACTTGGAGATTGACGGCTTCCACCCCGGGGTCGAAAATATGTGATAAAAAACATTTGATTTCTGCTACTAAATCGCAATGAATGGATATAATCGTGAGCGCTCATTTATTTATTTTATCTATAATTAGATAAAACAAAAACTATTTATTAAAATTATTGGCACAAAGAAACAAAAATTCGTCGTGACAGACAATAAAATGTAGGAAGATTAAATAGAGATAATCATATATTCGTTACTATTCCTAAATTACCAATTGAAAAAGCTAAATTTTCATAACACTTGACGGTATATCGAAGCCTTCTTGCACTACGAAATACTCATCACAAAAAAAAACGCCACGAAAAATAACTCAAAAAGATTCATGCAATACATTAATAAAGATTCTCTGAATGAAAATGATGAACAACATTAAATTCTAGTAATTCCGATAATTTAATTTCAAAACATCATTTATACCTATTTTTCGGCTTCGAACTTGAGAAGTACAAAAACTGGATCACAATTCCTCTCTGAATAGGACAATATTTCCATACTAGTTGTGTCAGCCTCACATTACTGAGGCTACACTCCCGGCAGGCTTCCCATGCATGGCGAGCTTCATAACGCTTGCAAGGCTGACAGAACCCCGGCAATTTATTTATTTATTTATTTATTTGCTAAGCCCCGTTTGTTCACACGTGCGAGTTTCAAAATTGCACTCGCGTACTGTAGAGTGAGATTAAAAACTGAGTTTGTCAAGATTAGTCCTTTGGACGACGGATACATAGCGAAGGCCTGCAGCCATGGCTTGAGGTGTGGAGTTGGGGGTTGCGTTCAATCTTCCTTCCGCGTTGTGTTTGAAGCGTGCAGCGGGATTTTAGATAAAAATTATTAAATACGTTTGCTTAAATCAAGTAAGAACGTTATTTGGATTTTAAACATATGACCGTCATACAAGGCATATTTTTATATCTAAAATGAACTCTTATTTTGAACACACTTCTTGTTTAAATAAACAAAACAAGTGAATTACTCAGGTTTGATTCGAAAAAATTATTAAAATTCATAACACTTAATTTGACATAGACTGTTTCTAAAAATTTCTGCGTCCTCTAATTTAGGTCTTCAACTCATCTTACTGTTTCATTTGAATTCATTGATTGCAAACTATTCTCAATTAAGAATAATTATATTTTATAGAGTATTAATTAATTCGTTAGTCAATTCGAAATTTTACTTGTGAATAGAAATGTTTTCATTACGAAAATCATCTCACAATAGCCGCTGAATTTTCTCTTATTCTTAATGCTGCCAGGAAAATATATTACGATCGAAATATGTCAAATATATCCTACTCTCTCGGTTCTTTTGGGAGCACGACGATGTTGTCCCTCAACAAAAAGTTCCCTCGGAAAATAAATGGTTTTTGTCAAAGGTGTCGGGCGCGGTGAACGGTGAAGTTCTTTCAACTTTGCTGCCCTGTTATGGCACTCGCGTCATTATTTACTGGTTTCATCAATCACATTTTTTCTTTAAAGATAAATTGTTTCGACAAAAACTAATTTGATTAGCTCATTTAGATTTGAGATATAGAAACATTAACTATTAAAAACAAACTCAGTCTCGATATCGTGCTCCTTACTGATTATTTCCTCAGTGTAAATAACACGCAATAAGGCGTTCTATATATGTACGGGTATATACGTGAATTCCTTAGCCACCTCCAAAACCCTTCCTGTCTGCAAATGATGCTGCAAACAGAGCTCCACATAAGATGTCAAACCATTTTTTGTAAAAAGCCATGTTTCCTAAAAAGGAGTCAGAACAAAATAATGCATATCAAGTTTTACTTAATATCTAACACAATAACAATTTAAGCTTAGCGCCGAAAGTATTTATATAGTGGCTGACTAATCGATGTTTGCAGTCAAGCAGTAACGAAGCTATTTTTTTAGATAACAGAAATGTGGGTCACGACACAAAATGTTCTTGATTTTCCCTGCACACATCTCTGTCACAAAAGGGTAACAGAATTAAACGCCTATTACCAAATAAACTTGAAATAAAAACTCTTCACAAACGGCATGTCGTCAGTTAGACGTCGAACAAAATTCAATGTTGCCAGTAAATTTTAGCATCCAGGATCGGCCTACGGACACATTAATTTACTGAAAATTGTCAACGTCGGTGTAGCGTGGAGATGACAACAACTGCAGTCTCGTTAACATGGCCTCATTGAAGCTCGAGAATTTCGTCCTGATAATGAGATGCACTGAATGGAAAGTTGCGCACCAACGTTGAATTAGTTTCAGCTGTTCGAATCTGTACTACATCTGCATAGCCAGATTGAATACTAATGACAAATTTTGTTGTCAATAAAAAAATCTAACCTGCGGTGCGGTAAATATTTTTTCCTTATGAAGGTATATCAAGGACGTATCAATGAATTTTTATACTGTTGATAGATCCCAGTCCTTTATTTCTCAGCACTTCTTAAAAAAAGTCACACCAGCGGCATTTGCTTATCCATCCTGTCAATGAGGTAATCGGGTTTATCGCCGTATAAATAAAAAAATTAGTTGGAGAATTTTATAATTGTCTTCCGTAAACTGGCGGCAATATCATTTGTTAACCATTTTCGTTTGGAAGAAAATTCTTACGCTTACATCCTGGTTTTATATTTTCTACGTCTAGTGTAGACCCATTGCGGGGTTACTCAACAAGAACGATGTCAACTTGAGCAGTCGGAAACGGAACCTCAAAACCCATCTTTCAGCAATACAGTTTTTCTGTCTCTCTGCTCTGATGAGTATCGCGGGAATTGTTCTCAATAACTTCCTAATTTGAATCGTACATAGCTCGATTTGTAACACTCTACGAACTTGAACGTTATGAGTTTGAAATGAATGAAAAGTATAGTAGATTTCACTTATTTATTAACAAATTGACTTGAAACATGGGCTGTGAATAAGTTTATAATTATTCATTGCACATAGAGTGTTAGAAGAGCGACTTCAAGACTCCAGACAGGGATGCTCTGTACAAGGCACAGGCATCTTTGGCACTATCGCCACTTCCTTGTCTGCTCGCTCCCGAGATGGGTTCTGTGAACAACATGTAAACGTCAAAGGTGCGAATGTTTTGCGTTCTCTTTTGTCCTTACAAGAACTGCTGCCTGGTAAGCTCGCCCTCCTCATGAGGTGCTCGTCAAGATGTAGCAGACATTCAAGAGTGTGCTGTTCTATTGAAGAAAGTTGAGTAAATATGGTCGGGCGCATAGAGTTCACGGTAGATCCTGGAACACAACTGCTCTTGCTAGGTGTAAAGCTACCTTTAACGGCTGCTAGGAGGTATAGTGTAGCAAGCAAGTCTCACTGTCTCCATAGCGTGAAAGTCTGCGATGACTACACCGAGAAACTGCCCAATGTCTATGTCAACAACACGACTACAACATTTCTAGCAGGTAAAAAGTAATTGTGATCTCGGATGGGAAATTATCTCTGCAATTTAAACCATATTGTGTTCAAGTATAAATAGATCGCTTAGAAAAACCGGAATAATTCTTAATATCTGTCCTCAAAAGTTAAGCCTCAGTTCTTAAGTGTGACCTGTCCTTATATTGAACATTTAGTATCTATATTTAATGAGAAACGAAGACACTTTTCTTGTACACTAATCAGCATTAAGTTTAGTCAATCAATGGAGCTTTCGAAAAGAAAATGAAATGTTCCAGTTTAAAACGTGAACTCATTAAATTTATCGAACAAGTGCAATGCAGGGATAATATTTTCTTATTTAATCTTTAGCTTCAGAACATCAACTTTTGCCTTGGATACAAAGGTGATATAAACTTCCTATAATTATATCCATTGGCCGCAGGGCTGATAGAGGATGGCCAAACATCGGCATTTATTTTTTATTCAGTAGAGATATGAATGTAATATCGATCAATATTACTGAGAACTTGTCGAGATAACTCAGAAGGCTTCGCATTAAAGCCCGCAATCTAGAGCGGAGATAACATTGCGTGTTTAAAACACGGCATTATAAAGCCATAAATGAGCGGTGACAAAATTTTGTATGATATGTTTATACGATATCCACCGATAAATTTTTTTGAAAAAAGTTTGTTTTTATGTAATGATAAAATTGGAAAGTTCCGATTCCATGTTTGATTTTCAGCGAAACTTGTGGTTGATACTGAAAACGTACAATTCTATAGATGTCTTGTATATTCTTTTGAACCCTGTATGTATCGGAAAGTGGGTATTGAAAATAAGCGAAACAAAATAATGGGGGCATTACAGCATTTCATAATATTTGCAGCCCGTAATAAATGTCCGATATTATTTACATCTAATGCCAACTACGCCATGATAAAAAAAGTGGTCGATATCGACCCCTAATAGGACTCAAGCAAAGGGGTTCAAAAATTAATGAAAATCGTAAGAGCCGTAAAAATCGTTCAAATTTTTCGAGTAATTAGATTAACAATTATAGTATAAAAAATTAAATTTGATCAACTTTCAATCAAAGAAATGAAGAACGAAAATTTTCAATTGAAAGATTTTGTATATGAGTAAACATTACCTGCGATTTAATGACCAGAGTTAAGAAATTTTTTCACCGATTCAAAAGTAAGCGCACGAAGAGATTTTTAATACATAGAAATATACTATGAAAGGTTCGACAGGCAAAAAAATGCTAAAAAACATTTATTTTTCAGCACTCATTGGTACGGGCTCGTTGGTTCATTTATTTCACAACGCATGTCCTCTTTAAATTGATTAAATTACCCTATGCTTCGTTGGGAACTTGAAGCAAAGTTGTGAGGCTATCAGGAGAGCCCGTGAAGTGAGGCGTTCTCAGGTAAGCCCATTCACTTCTAAGTGTT